TCCAATTAAAAGGAACCAGGAAACTTAAAAAAATGGTTGACCCAGTACTGGGACAGAGAAAATACAAGGTAACTGTGGAACGTTTTCTGGTGCCAGAAAGGACATGCTAAAAGGGGCTTGTCCAAGGACCACGGGAGTCCTCCTGACAGCTCCTAATGGCCAAGGCTGGAACAATTTGAGGAACAAAATAATAATAGATGATAACCCATAGAAAAGAAGAAATACCCCTCAGTCCATAATGGTGGAATTCAGTAAATGAAAAAGGACAGCTGTACCCTATAGCAGAAGTACAATTAATAAAAACGAACACAGGCAGATTAATTGTTGTAGTCAAGATGCTAAGTTAGACGATAAAAGTATGGAAAAGAGCCTCCATAGTCACTAGGTCTCTCCCCCAAGATAGGTGTATTTATTAATTACAAAAGGAAAGACAGTAACTTTACAGTGGAGAAACCCAGTAGAAACCACGTAAGCAAGTGACCAAGGTCAACGTTCATCAACCCCAGACTGCACTTAAGCAGGGCAATCACTTCTGCAGAACCTCATTCCAATCATGAAAAAATATCAGACAAACCCCCTTTGAGGGACATTAGATAAAATAACTCAAAGGTCAGGAAAGATAAGGAAAGTAAAAAAAGCAATGTGGCATCTTGGATTGGATCCTGGAACACACACAGACAAAAGTGGAGAAAATGGCAACATTCAAGTATGGTATTTACTTAATAGTATCGTATCAGTGTTGATTTCTTGGTTCTCTTACTTGTAGTACAGTTATGTACATATGAACATTAGAGAAGACAGGTGAGGGATGTATAATGGAAACTATATTATTTTTTCAATTTTGTAAGTCAAAATTTAGTTCAAAACAAAATGTAATTAAGAGTAAAAACCAGAGTGGGGATGAATTATGTGTATACTAAAATCACATTTTTTCCTTCTTCTTCTCCAGCTGCACTCTGCTTCTGTTAGACATAAAGTAGACAGGGAAGCCCTGGCCTGGAGGCTGGGTCAACCGGTCTGGGTCCTCTGGGAAGCAACACTGAGATGCAGTTAGGAGCATCAACAGTTCATACCTCAGCAATGCACACTTGTTGGCTGGGTTGCCTGAGAAAAGCTGGTCCTCAGCCCAAACTGACTGACAACTGGGGTTCAGGGGTCAGCACTCAGCCCTCACATAGCCGGGGGCTCAGCACCTCTGCAGGGTGAGGACACCAGTCCACTTAGCCCAAGAAACCCATCTCCACAGTATTTCTCTTCTTTTTGCAGTTTTCTGGCTGGGGCCAGGTTTGAACCCGCCACTCCTTTGAGCCACAGGCACCACCCTCTCTCCACAGTCTTTCAACCCTCTGTTTTACAACCAACAGCCCCTGGGCCCCTTGTGAACACTGCACAGGGAGCAGGCTGTGGCCATCCAGCTGGCACCAGCCTCTGATTGAACACCATCTTTTTGGCTGTTGCCAATCACAGAATAACACCTAGAGCAGAGCACCCATGGGAGCTAACTAGGAGAGTGCAATGAAATTGATTTTAAGCAGCTGCAGCTGTGATTATTTTTAGTCATAGGACTCAGCCAGCTTTCAAAACCTGCTAATAAGGCCCCACTGTAGCCAGCACAAAAATTTAGTTTTCAATTTGACACCAAGAATCTGCTTAGCTAAGAGCTGGCTTAGAAGGCACATCAGAGGAAGAGAATATTTTCCACTGCAAATTGAAGATTCTTCATTTTCTAGCTGAATCTCCCTAAAGGGCGATGGACCACTGGGAGGCACCTGCCAGCATCTTGCGGGAACACATCCATCGTTTTCAGAAATAAAACTCAATTCATTCTAAGAAATGTCTTCAGTATCATCATTTTGGGCAAAACAAATTGTTTCCCACCCTAAACTTCAGAGAGAAGAATCTAATAATAGTTGATGACAGTACCCATCCCCTCCAACCCTTGGTGTTTTCTGTGAGTAGTAGTTTTGGAGACAGCATGCATGCCACTGATCACACCCGTGTGCACACAACAGCCAGGCTGGAGACGGTGTCACTGGCTGCTTCCTACTGGTCCTGGGGCTCTGGACCATAATGACTTAATACAAGGAAAGGGTCATGTAGGTGGAAAGGTCTTTGTGGAAGGAGAGGACTGTAGGGGAGAGCTGCCTGGTGGCAAAGCCAGCGCCTCACCATTTCCCCAGCAAACATGACAGAGTCTGGATGCGCAGTAGGAGCCAGGCCGTCTTTACTGGAGTGAGTGCAGGAGACAGTTTACAACTAGCATTGTCTTAACCATTTGATAAAAAGTTCACTATAATATTTATTGTATAATGAAGAAAAACAACACATTCAGGGAAAAATTGAGATTAACTTATTTTTCTTAAAAGGTTCATCTCAAGGATGGCAACAAAGTCCAGCTTGTGCCGCCAAACGGTTTTACATGATCAAACCGTGTACAGCTTCTTGTGTGAACTGTTGACTACAAACATTTACCAAATACATAAATCTCTTTTAAAAAAGCCATTTTAAATATAGCAAAGCAGTGTCTTCTTGCACAGCAAAGTGAAGAAAAGTTTCTACAGAGAAATAGAAGTTTTACATTTGTAAAATCTTTTTCACATTCTAATCATCTAGCTTCTTATGATCCAATGCCAGGAGTTTTCAGGTTCCTTATTTACTATGTATTTCTTGTGCGCATGATGGTTAGTACAGAAATCATGTTAATGCATTATCAGTTGTCCTTATATTTAAAGGAAATAGTAAAACACGTATTGTTCTTTTAGAACAACCCCCTGATTTAGTCTATAACACAATGGATGGGATTAGGGCTCAAAAGATGGAGTTTTGATTGGGACCATCTGTGTACACACAATGGTGACTTTCACTCTCGGTGTAGTACCAGTTAGAGTGCCGAGGGAAGAACAGCTGTTGGAAGCTGTACATGAGTGCAATTAACTTTAAGCTTTTTTTGTTTTTGTCTTTTAGTAATAAAATATTTCTGAAGGGATAAAATTTTCTTGCAATGGTGTCTCATACAAAACACATGAGTCTAAAAGGGTAGGAAAAGCCAGTTCTAAAGCAACACCATTAGTCTTCCCCACTCTAGGCTGGTTTCCACCCAGAGAGGTGGATGCGGAAGTGTTCACACATGGGTGTCTGGGTGAGGCATGTCTGTTGAGACCATATGCTCCAGATCACACTGGGCATATGAGGAAAAGGTTAACAGTCAAATATTCAGTTCCTGAAAATGTAATACATTGTTTCTTGGTCATTATAATTTAAATACAAACTCCGAGCCTTGTGTAATATTATTTTAGAAAACAGTAGTTGTACTGATTATAAACCTGCATAGAAAGAAAGACTATTGAGATACAGTCAGAAAAGCCATCTCATAAGGCACACAAGAAAATAGACAGTAAATGTGAATGTGTTAACTCCTATTCCAACGTACAGCAGAAGTTCATGAACATGCATAAATAATAATGAAGGAATCACTTGAACTTTCAAAGCTATAAATGGTTTACAAAGTGGTAAGGATTATCTTGGAAATTCAGTGTTGGGAGACTGTCTTGTTTCAATTAGGTGTGACTGCATGAAGAAATGTGCCTGTAAGTAGTTCAGTAAAATAACTGCATTTGAAAGAAAAACTAATCCTTTCTGAATAAGAGCCAATGCCTACACTGAAGAGAGGAAACAGCATATTACCTCCCCCTTTTTGGCCTCTATCTAAAGTAACTCCCCAAACTGCCATCAAACAGAACCTCCAATGTGCAAGCCGGTGAACACCATAGATTTTCCTTGTACACGACACCTGTGTGTCAGTCAGGAAATCTGGCTAATGATCTGTCACAAATAGATAAGAGAAAAATGTCCAAAGGAACGTAATTTAGGGGGGAAACAAAATGTAAAAATTGTAGGCAGCTGCTCAGTATTACATTTAAAATATAAAATAGCAGCACTTTTTAAACTCTTACTTTGAGTTTCTCAGGAAAAGGGAGCATTAAAAAATCTATGATGAAAGATATACAGGACTTTGAATTTTGTTCATGGCACAAGCCCAGCAAACGAATGAACTTGCTATCACCAATTATTGGTCTTTCTGTAGGAGTAAGGCCTTGTTCAAAATCCAAGCTGAAGGTGGCACTAATTTCTATTAGAATGGCAAGAGTCGTGCCAAGAATCTGCACCATAAGAGAATTTCTCCCCGCCCCCCCGCACCAAAGTGTCATTTTAATGCATAGAATAGTTGATAATGGTAGTATTTTGTAACCAGCTACATCATTCTATTTTCAGAGGGTCAAGGAAAAAAGATCCCTTCTCCATGAATATTTTTTCCTAATCATTTACCACTTATAAAACCTTTGTGCTCATCTACTATTTTGCCATTTTCTCTAAAATTCATTAAATTAGGTCAGCTTTTTCTACTATATTTTTTCCTCACAAAAGGCAACTTTAAATAAGCCTTATAAAATCTGTTACAACACATTTTATATTTATGCAGGATGAACTTAACATCAATTTTTTTTGCCACTTTGCTATTTATGTACACATATAAAATATATAATGATGCTCAACCCATACAGCACAAAGATTACAATGTAACGTCACACATTCACCACCAGTGAGGGGAGAAACCCCTTTATACAATCCTCTGAAAAAACTGGGCTAATAATTAAAATCCAAAGTACAGTATATATTTAACAAAATAGTAAATATTAAACAGTGAATACTCTACTTAATAAGGACCTCGCCTTTTCCCCCCAAATTGGCGGCAATCCACAAAAATATACTTTTTAATCTGGTGACCATACAATACATAGGTACTTACATCAAAGGTGATAATATATTTAAGATGCTATATACACAAAGAGTTTGGCTCAACTTTTAATATACATATAGAATAGTAAGTGTTCATGGCTTTTTTTTTCCAAGGTTCTGCTTGCAAGATATTTTTGTTTTTTTCTCCTCTTAAAATAAAACTAAAAAGTTAAACCAAGATAAAGCTATTCTCTAAAAAAAAAGAAAAGTTACAACATATAGCTTTGGCTTATATAAATAATTCATAGCAGAATGTGTTCAAAAGTAGTGAATATAATTTTATATATAGTCATCAATTCATAAGGGTGTTTTCTTTCATATAAAATATACGTGAGCTAAAATCAGTTTCTTTAATTTTTAAGATATGAATGTAAAAAGAAACTTCTGACATATTCCAATTATAACTTAATATATTAATTTTATTTTGTTAATGCTCTCTATTTCTAGGCTAGTATTTTCTGAATATCTCATGCGTTTTCTATTCTCTCTTTTATTAGCTAAAGATCACTTCTTGACCCAATACATTTTTGCACGTGCAAAACAGTTATGTGTGGGGCTTTTGTTTTGTTTTTAATATCAACAGCCCTTTCCCATGCACCCCTTTGCAACAAAGACCCATGCCAGGTTGGGTAACTAATATAAATGACATTTTATGTACAGTATTGCTTTCTTGGTTCCTGCTTTTCTACTGCTCTGTTCTACAAAGCATGTTTCTTAAGTAACTACAGTCACCGCACAGTTAAATAAAACAAGAAGGGGGCCCTCTAGGTTTCTGCAAGCTAGTGTGGGAGAATTATATATGGGTACACATTTCTCTGCAAAAACTGGTTATCTTATGAAACAAGTAGTCCAAGGAAGTGCCAGACTGGTCTGTGCCTACAGAGTGCTTTGTCTGCCATGGGACACAAATCTGCAGACCTACAAGGAGTTTGCAGGTAAGTGCCTGATTCTGTGTATGTAATACACACCCACACATACACACACACTCACACCCACATACATATATATGTAAAGGGATATATATATATGTATGTATGTACATATAAATATATTTAACTCATGTCCTTATTTACCGATTTAGATATGTAGGGCAGTTTACTGCAGTAACACGAAGTACAAACATCAGCCTAGAAGCCTTAGGTCACCCACGCATCCATCCTCATCCGCTTTACAGAAGGGCTTTCTCTGTCCTCGGTGTTTGGGGGTCGGCCAAGCACAACTGGAGAATGGAAGTCGCCCCGTGGATCTTCCCGGTCACTGCCGTCATAGGAGCTACTAGAGCTGCTCAGACTGTCCACAGGAGAACGCCCCATTTCCTGTCGGGGCTGAGACTGTGGGGGCTGGGACTGTGGCGGCGGCTGCTGCTGCTGCTGCTGCTGCTGGAAGCCTGATGGGGTCATTCGGTCCCGGGGAGGTGAAATTGGTTCTGACTTAATGTTGATGTTTTGGTTGGTATTAATGGATAAATTCGAACCCTGAGATAACTGCCCTCCAGCGCTAAAGGAAAAAAGAAGGGTGTAAGATGATGTGTGAGTGCATCTGCATTATTAGAATACTACAGACACCACTGTCTAAGAAGAGCCCAGGGTCTAAAATCCTGTCAGAATTCCCCAAGACCGACTCTGTGGCATAAAAAGAAATCTCATTTCCCTAGCAAGAAGAAAACAGCAGTTGAGACCTTAAGTTACTTAGTTCTACTCCCTACACCCTTGTTAATTTTGCAGCCAGTATCCATGAGAGTGTCAGTGTCTAATGCTATGCACAGACCAGGAACAGAGCCAGTGAGGCAGCCTGACCTCTGCCCCAGCTCTGGGATACGTACATCTCGTCTGTTCTCATAAGGGAATGACTTCTCTCAGGAGTAAATCAGATCATCCTTATTTTCCAGAGGAGGAAACATCTCAGAAAGGCTAAGGATCCTGCTCATAGTAGTACAGGAGGACATGTATAGGCTTTTCTCTAGGCCCAAGCTCTGAGCTCTTTCCACTTGCTTTTCCAGAGCTGCTTTTATTAGTATTCTTAGGATACTAAGGACAGCCCTGAGAGGTAAATACCTATGTAAGCACAGAAACTTCCCTGAGTTACTCTGCTCCTTTTTCCATAACACAATTCCTAAAGAAACTACTGATACCAGTACACACTATGGAAGTATTTCAGAAGTCAGAGTGTTCAGGCTCTCTGCGGACCTGCTAGGCAGGAGGCTAAGGTGTCCCTTCTGCCCTGAGCAGGCAGGAGGCAGCCAGCCATCATGGAGGCTGGACAGCTCTCCTATGCTATCCCCTCTTCTGGGATGCCTCCTCCACCTGCTCCATGGGCCTACTGTCATTCTGGTTCTATAAAGGACCTGTTCCTTCTCCCGGCTATGCTGGGATGTCTGGTCTCATCTGGGTATTACTATAAATCCTCTTCACGTATATCCTCACACCTTGCCCCTACGGAATGTTCTCTTTGTGAATGAGTTCAGTGTGGGCACTGGGCTGGGATCAACCACATGAATCCCGTGGAGCCTGACATACACATAAGATGTACAGACCCACTTTCCCTCCCCCGTCCCCCAAGAAGAAAGCCAAAGGCATAACTCACTGCCTTGTCTCCTGTCTAATGATGTTCACTGGAGCAAAAAAATGAAGGGTGGTGGGTTGGGCCGAATGCCCACAGGCTGCCTTTCCTTAACCAGTGGAAATCAGAGGCAGGTGCTGGGAAGCAGGTGTGGCAGCAGGAGCTTAATCATAGGTCATTAGGCAAAAAGGGGTGCACGTGGGTGGCATCTGTGCCTAGGGACCCCCTTAGATACTAGTTGAGTCTAATTCACTATGTCCTTGCAGGAGAAGGCTTGATGTCTGAATCCCTTCACAAAATGCCTACTTTGCTCAATATCCAAGCTATTATCTGGAGCCACATAAAGATAGTATTTTCTCCCAATACTTGGGCCTACCAAAAAGAGAATCATTCCAGGATTCTTCACATGAAAGTCAACAGAGCAAAAGACTGTAATTAATAGAAAGGGAGAATGTGCAGGCCAGGAGCAAGGATTCAGGGAGACCTTCTAGTTAAGCCGTTATCAACCTGTGGGTCATGACTCACAGGAACTCTATCAAAGGGCTGCGGCATTAGGGAGGTTGAGAACCACTGTTCTAGTTACTCACACAAGAGAGCTGAGGGCGGCTTGTCCTAGATGGTGCTGCTGCCAGGCCGACACCTGTCCGAGAGACAGCATCCCTGGGGAGTTGAAGCCTTGCAGAGCTGACAGGTCAGCACTGGTCAGTGAGTAGTCTGCAAAGGAAGACAAGATTGCTCTGTGTGACTGAAGCACCATACAGGGTTTATTTTTCAAACAGCCGCTACACTGGCTCCTGGGTTGAGAGAAGCTAGGGTCTAAAATCTACAACCCTTTTTCTTTTAGATTTATAGGATCTAGCTATATATAGTAGCCTGGATTTATTTAAATAATAAAAGGTTTTCATTAAAGAACGCTCTTATGCAATTGTTATTTTAAATATATATTCCTGCTACTACCCTCTGGAACAAAGACAAACATTCAGAGAGCTTAGACAGAGCTTACCCAGCGTGAGTCTGGATTAGCCAGTCCTAAACAGGAGAGACAGGATCCCGTCTCACGTCTCACGGGGTGCCACTCTGAGTGACACAGACACTAAATACATCATTACACAATTAGGTAATTGCATTTGTTTTAAGTACAGGGGCTGTCCCAACTCCTCGACTACAAACAAAGTAATTTCAAGTTCATGAGAAACCTTTCTGTCACTAGAGCAGAACACAGGCAGCCCATTCTATAGGAACGCTTCAGTTCCCATCACTGTGGCCAAGACTAAAGACTTACTTATCACTCCCGCAACAAGGAGTTACTTCAGCTCAGCCTAACCCTTGGCTTTTCCATTTGGTTCTAATAAGAAGTGGCAAAAACTCTTCTACTTTTCACTTCTTTCTCATGTCTCAGGGAGATGTTTAAAGAAGCTGGCCTTTCTAGTGAATGAACATTTTCAGAAACGAACTGGATGAAGCAGCATGGCGGTGCTCAGGACACTGCCCTGCCTCTATCTTCCCCCACTCCATGTCTCTTAGGGGGGCTCAGCCAGTCTTCCAAAGGGTCCCCTCCAGCCTACAACTCTCTAGGTCCTTTCAATGGCCTCCACACCATGTTAACTTGGAAGCTCTACAAACATCTCAACCTTTGATATGACCCAAACTTGACTCACCCTCTCCTCTAAACCTGTTCCTCCTTAAACACTCCAACCCCAAAATTCACCTAGTGGTCTGTGCAAAAGCCTGAGGGTATCATCCTTACCACTCCTACACCACCCACCAAGTCTGGTCAATTCTGTTTGCTCTCTCTCTAGCCTGCCTGAGTTTCATCACCTCTACTCCCACCATCTAGTCTAAGCTCCACTGTGTGGACCATTATGCCAGCCCCTTACATGGCATCCAGTTTTGCCCCTATGTGCACTATAGCCAAGTGACCTTTATAAGACAACAAGTATGATCATGATACTCTCCTTAATATCTTTTTATGCCTTCCCTACGCTCTCCAGACAGTGTAGAAAATCCTTAACATGGCCTACAAGTCCCTACTTCCCTCTCTAGTCTCCACACTGACCATCCCGCCCTGTCCCTCTGGTGGACTCCAGCCTTTGTCCGTGGCACTCCCTCTCTGGGAGTCTCTCCCTACTCTGCCTAGGTGATTCACGCATGCTCCTCTGTGTCTAAGCTGAAATACAGCCCTTATGCAACTGCAATAGAACTTGTGTCTTGTGTCTTTTCTCCTAAGTTCCACTGTCGATTCCTGTATTTCCACTGCCTGGCACAGTGCCACATAGTAGGCGCTCACAAATATTTGCTGAGAGGATACGTGACTCAGTTTGTGAAGGTGGGTATGACTTTACGCACAGGCATGAGGCAATGTCTAGCTGCACAGAGCTGTTTTACTTTTTAAAGTGTTGCTTCTTTAGTCACCCTTTTACTGACTGATGTGATTGACACTAAAATGTGTACAGAAAGGTAGTTAATATACTCAAGAAAGATAAGACATGCACAAGTGTTTTTAAAAAGCAAATAACCTTGTGAAAGATAACACAATAAAGTTAAACAGAATGAGTGTTCTAAGAAAGAGAGCAAGGATAAAGTCAGTCTTAGGTAGAATGAGACTGAAGCAAAGTGACTGATGGTTTTAAAAGAGACTGCCTCCATTTTTATATGTTTTGGTAATTCCTTCTAGATGTCTTAAAGATATTCTTCCTAATCCAATGGCATTTCTGTAAGTAAGTAGAGGAATTTCTAAGAATACTAACAAACATAATAAATTGGTCAGTACTTTGTAATCTGACACCCAGTGCAAGCTCCACCTTCTCAGCTACTGGGTCCTCTGAACATTTCAGTGGACAGATTTTTTTCTTTCCCTATCCTCTCCACTCAGAGAGCGTAAACTTATAACCACAACAACTCAGGACTTCCCTTCCATGGTTACCAACTTAGGTATGTAATGTCTCCTAAAAATTTAGAGTAAGCTTGGGAGAGTGGATGTGTCCTTAGCATAGTGTTCTCACCTACTGAGAGGAGAGTGAAGTGCTTAACACACTGGAACAGAATTTCTATGAAAACATAATCCCTGGCTTTACCCTGGAACCTTGCTCTGTGCAAGGTGCCAATAGCAGGTGACAAGTCACAGACCCTGGGCTATTGGGCAATTGATGGATTTGGGCGCTTTCTTCCTTCTGATTGTTGAAAAGAGGAAAGGACATTTCTTAAGAGGCTTTCTTTTTCAGTAAAATCTATAAAGTTGTTTCTGTTTTAAAATAACTACTTAGAATTAAAGTGGCAATCAAATGTATCTATTGCCCTGCCCTCACAGTGTGAAAGCACAGGGCCAAAGCATTTACCCTAAATCCTAAACTTAGATGACCTTTGCCACAGTCTGCTTGTAAGGATCATAAAGAAATAACTTCTTAGCAGGGCAGTCCCTGAATAACTGGCAAAGTATAATTTGACTACTGCCTTCTTTCCTTCTTCCTTTGAGGCATCAGGTGCTTGGCTCAGCTGGTGAGAAAGACCAACCACACGTTTTCAGCCCTTCTCAGATGGATATGTTTAAATAACACCCGCTGCACAAAGCAAGTTTCCACACAGCCTACTTCACTAAAGTACCCCTCCAATCACTGTAGAATTCTTAAACTTTCCCAATATACCCCAAATTAGGGTATTTTTAGATGAAATGTCTAAATAAATGTAAATCAGTGAAAAGCTCCTCTCAGAGGCAAAGAGTGACTAGCTCTGAGGAGAAACAAGAAAGGTCCTTGTTTTGTTCCTGAGGCCCAGATACAGAACAAACTAGCGGTCACAGGGAGTAAACGACAGCCTGCCAGACACAGCTAAACACCTGCCCACACGTCAGGTCCACAGGGATTCCTGGTCTTTCCCAAAGGAGGTTAACACAGCAGGGAGACAAACCTGCTTTTACAAGCCTGAAGAGAGAGATACTGTGGAAAGAAAAACTAAGCAGAAGCAGGCTGTGCCCCTCTGTGGTGTGTTGGGTGCCACAATGTTGACAACAGCTACTTGTTTGTTTTTTCTTTTTTCTGGTTGGGGTAAGTACAGGTTCACACTAGAGAAACACAACTTTTTAATTCATTCAGTTATCAATGTGTTGTTCTGTGATTTTTGTATGGCTAGCATGTGTTTAGTATATCTACATATGAATCTAAAAAACATGAAATGACTTATTTCAATAAATACAATTTAAAAAAATCACTGAAGCAGATGTTGATCACAAAACAGGGAGCATTAAGACCCATGGAAGGCTCAGAGCAGGCTCACCAGTGTTGTAGGCAGTCGGCATTGCTGAATACACAAGTCCCTGTGGAGGCAAGCTTGGGGTTGTCACAGACACCACTGGGGTAGCAAGAGGCTGAGTGGCTTGAGAACTACTTATCCTTTGAGTATTCTGTGAGAGATTAGAAACACAAAAAGTGTTATTAAATGGTATTTGTGTTTAGACTAAACATTTTAGAAATAACTTTCAATTAAAGAGTGACACTTTTCACAGTTTCATATGAATGTCATTGTTTTCTGCAGCAGCAATGTAAAAACCTTAAAGATACATAATGAGAATAACTAAATAATTAAGGAACATATTTTTACATTAATTACTCATTCATTTTTAAAAATACAATTTATTAATGTCAGAGACACAGCCTTAAACAGAAACTTACATTTCTATTTTAAGAAATGGGCAGTGACACTTTCATGTGTTAGCATAAATGAGGACTTGATGCCACTACAAATACTGTCAGGCTACTGTAAATAAAATACATGTAGCTTTTAAATACCTGGTGATAACAAAGGTCATTTCCGTTTATAGGGACTGTAAGTCTCTATGTATAGACTTTTCTCTGTAGCACTTATATGTTTACATGGTTTAAAGTCATGGCTTATTGAGTACAGCTTGTATTCCTAATTCTTCTCCTCTGAACCTGCAGCTGACCTATTTTTCAACAGTAGATTTAGATGTATATTATCTCTTCACAGTCCCCTAGCTTTCTGACAGGAAAGGCTCTGAGCACAGAGCTTCTGAATAACGAACTGCTGATAGGTAGCGGATGAGCAACATTAAATGTCCACTGCATGCATCCACACAGCACCCTAACCATGCTGGGAATGAATAAAAAAGTCAACTATTAAGTAGTCTAGTTCGTCTGAGACCAGTCATTATCTTCTATGTGTAGGAGTAGGTCAGAACTAGTTTCTCATCATAGTGGCTTAAGATAACATTTTTTCAAAACTGAGGATCAGAGGGACAGAACAGACCTCATCATTAGCACACAGGAGGCCAAAGCACAACTCCAACTTCAATTCTTTATAAATGAAGTTGCAATCTGATAGCTGAAAAGTTAGGGTCTAAACCGTATCAGTGAAAGTATAATTCAGCGCCCTTAAGATTATAGGAGTAAGAATGTGATTCAATTTTCTCTATCACAATTTTCAGACGGATATATAAGAAGGCCTTTGGCTAAATCTAGACACTTAGAAACTGACCATTTAATGAGGATCCAGGCCTCAGTTTATTTCCAAACTTCAGTTCATATTTTCTACCCTATGTCAGAGGATGTTAGAACATGCAGTAGTGGATGTACAGCTTCAGTTTTGTCCCAGAGTCACCATTTCCCAGGCATTGGGAAAATCATTTAACCTCTTGGAGCCTCTTCCCTGTCAGGTAGAGAAGACAGCTTTGTCCTGATTGCCTTGCAACACTATTTTGAGAATCTAATGAGGTATTATGTCTGAAGTGCCTTCATAACTGAAATACTACACACATATACAATATCCTTAAGTTACTGTCCCAAGAAGTCCTCTGTCCCTAGATTTCTATATAACTGATGAAAAAACAGACATAAACATTTTTATTCCTTCTGATCCATAGCTTTCCTATTGAAGCTGTCATGAAGCAAAGCTATTCTACAATTATAAGACTTCTGAAGGAATCTCTGTAGTTGGCTCTCACCAATACAGTCTTTACATGCAGGGCCCAGGGCACCTGTCCTTCCTCACTGTAGTCAGAGCCATTCATGATTATATTTTAGAGCTCAAACCAATGTGAACAACTTGCTAAGTTCTAAAAAATTGTGTTTCTGATTTTGGTCTGACACACAAAACTGTGTATTTTAAATTTTAGAGTGTAAATTTAGCTTAAGTTTTAAAGAACATGAATTATATTTACAGTTCTTAGTTGTTACTTTTTCTTAGTTAAAAACATTTATTTTTATGATTTCTAGATTTCAAGTCTTCAGAGTCTTGGATATTTATCTACGAAATTCTATAATTATAGATGTACTTTGAGGAATGTGGAAAGTCAATGCAAGACAATTGGGAATACATTTTAGCCACAGCATCAAGTTAATAAACTTAAATTTTTGAGACAGGGATATACTTTGCACTTAATTCGTTCATTCATATTTGGACTGGAATTTAAAATCAAATCACTAGGTGAAAGAATACAGTATGAGATGGCCTGGACCCTACCCACTTCATGGCTTCATGGGATAACAACAAGACCCCAATATATTTATTTACTCTTTATTTTTTTACCTTTTTTAAATTTATTTTTTATTAAATCATAAACTCATAGATCATGTATACATTAATGCATTTGTAGGGTACAATGTGCTGATTTGATATATAATTAGGAATACTTATTAAAGCACCTAATCTCAGTAGCAGAGTTCTTAAGGGTCAGTGGCTTTCCAAACCACTAGAGGGCAACACAGCACTAGATAATTCACAGAAGCATTCACAAATTCACAACACCTCAAGGGTAAACAATGAGGTCTAATCTAATTATTTTAGCTTGAATTATAAACTTCATTTGCTAATCATTGCAGTATCATTAAGTATTTCCCCAGAAGATAGTCATAATATGAAATACAACACCACATTTACAGGTGACAAGTATATTTCAGTTAGCCAATAAAAACTACATCAAAAACTGTGAGAATAATCACAAAGTAAATGAAGAACAATCTTGTATTTTAAGAAGAGTACAACCTTATTTGAAAAGAAAACAAATTGTGCGAAACACACTACTAGCATGCATAAACATGTAATAACATGTAAATAAAACCAACACACGCCTTCCCCCTCCCCAACCATGCTTACATGCACTCTTAACCTTTATCATGCTAAAAACTTGAGCATTTTTAAGTCTGTATTCCTCTTGAAGTCCCAAATAGTAGCTGATTTTGAATTCATATGATTACTTCTGTGAGATTAGGGTTTTAGTTCCCAAAGAAGTAATAGTTCCACTGCAAGTTATTTTTAGTCAAGTTTATTTTCTGGAGAAAAAGCCAACAAAAAAGAAGACCATTTGCTTTGGAACAAAAGGTAATAGCCACTTATAAGAACAGCATATCTTCTGACAGAAAAGTAATTCTGTACAGGTTCAGTTACAGACATTCTTTTTAGCAAACAGGGAACCCCTTTGTGGTTCAGACTGTTTCATGCAGGATGAAATAATTTCAACTCTGAAAAAGGTGACCTCACCAAAAATGATGTAATCTTTTTGAAAGAAAGAGAAATAACACAAGATAGTGTGTTACAATCTGAGGAACTCTGAGAGTGAAGTCATTCTCTAAAAATATTTTAATAATTTGGAGAGCTATATAAGGCATTTTGTATCTTTCCCTTAAAAGATACTTAAACAAGTGTCCTATGCTCATGGACAGCTTGTGTTTTTAAAGGCTCTACTCCAATGCTCCCTCCAACAAATAAAATGGGTCAACGTGTACAATTATAAGTAGAAAAACTAGAGTCTGTAGTTCCAGAAGACTGCTTTAGTTATTTTAAGAATTTAAGTAGTGTTTAATAAAAATAAGACAATTGGTGCAATAAAGGGAACACTGGTTAGATAAAAATGTTTTTAAAAATTAGTATTTTACATCTTTTTCAATTTCCTTCACAAGTAGAAACCCACACTCACCAACTCCAATTCCTCTTCCTCCGACTGCACTCAGCACATAAGAGGAATAAGAGAGTTACTAAGGCTGTTGGTACTCACAAACAAAATATTTCTTAAGAAAAACAGTTTGGACACTAGCAGTTGTTTAGCACTCAAAAGAGATAATTATAAATACAACAAGAATATAAATTACTCATTGTCCCTATACTTGTAGTTGATTTTTCAAAAGACTGGAAAGATTCTTTTTAAACTCTCTAGGGCCATGATTTAAAGACATCCTCCCTTCTTCAACTCAGTCTGCCCTTACAACGGCCTCTCCTATACATAGGCAGGCCACTGTGACAAGATTTAAAAGAGGTTCCTCATTATGACAATATTTAAAAGAGGTTCCTCATCATGACATCATATTTGGAACCTTGAGAATACTAGCTCTTATATCTCAACCTTCCTATCACTATCCCATCTGGTCACACATGGCCATTTATTTGTTACTATAGTCCGTACTACTTGGCAGGCAGAAATTGGTGAATATATTTCCCAGAGTAGCTAGCACAGTGTTATGAAACAACAGGGACTCAAATATTTGTTAATAAATATGTTTGTCATTTGCAAATACAGTTGTCATATTAAAATAATTTCAATGAAGAAAATAAAACTGGAAGAGAAATGAACTGATGTATAAAGGTCATGTATAGCAAAAAATGAATGAAACATATTTGCTCCTTTACTCTTACACCGGAAACAATCCTATTAGGAATTTTTTTTTTTTTTGGTCTGTTTAAAAATTTTACTTGAGTAGGCTATGTTTCTTTGTCAATCTGTGAAAACTGTCTTTATCAACACCACTGACAAATCAAGCCCCAATCTGGAAGCAGGTTTCTCTGCAAAAAAATAGTGTAAAATAGGAAGGTGGCTGATTTACTCTGAAAAACAATCACTTGGCTTATAATTGCTACCTGAAATGTGAGTAAAATGCCCTTCAATTCTTTTGTTACAGATATCTTTCTTTACATACCCCCGACTATAACATAGACATCAAAATTCTATCAAATACTATGGAGATGTAAGCATGCACATTTTGTGTATACAGTTTGCATTTTAACCTATAGAGATGAAGACATAAATTTTCAGTTTTCCATGAAGATGGTCCATGATCTCTTAAAATAAAGACATAACTTTATTAAGCAGTTGCTGAACTCGTAAATGTGTTGTATATTTAAAATTTTGTAGTTTACCAATGGTTCCTATAAACGTATTTATATGCTTTAAGGGAAACTTTTTGTAGTTATTTCTGAAAGAGAATAGCAGGTATTACCTGCTATTCAGCTCCTGAAAGGTGACTCAAGTGACCATCCTAAATGCCATTTTTTCTTGGTACCTTTTTGGGGTATATTTCTTTGTTATATATGTATGTATCTGTCTATTTTAAACTTTCATTCTGAAATAATTTCAGAATTAGCATTAGTGAAAAATGCTCCCTTACACAGTTCCCT